ATGTACAACCAAGCTTGAGATGTTGACTAAGCTCCCCCTATATTCCGTTTTCATGTTTCATTTATATATGATAACTTGCGTCAACAACAATCACTGAGCTGTTTATAGATATATCATCACTGTATTTTTATAATTAAAATAAAATGCAAACTAGGAAACGCTGTTTTGAAAATGACATTGTCAAACACCTGTTCGGCTCACATAAAAAGAGAAAAACCAAACAACTCCCCACCCAAGGTCGGCTCCTTGAGTTAAAGAGTTGAGGGGCTACTGTTGATAGCTCATATTATCACTGTGAGCCGAGCCCCTCGGAGGACACCTCATATACCAAGCCGAGCATATATGACTGCGATAAAGAACTCCTCAGGGAGAATGTGACATATCGAAATGAGACTAGTGATCGGGTGTTCGAAGACCGACCCGACCACTATGGCGCCATGGCCTGACTAGAGATGCATTAAATAAAACAGCCTGGCAGACAGGAAAGGTCAGTTGATGCGCATCACATCCTTAAGCAGGTGTCGCTTTACCCTTCGATTTCTGAGAAAACAGGTTGGTGATAAAAATGGAACATTTAATACACCTCTCATCCTTGTTCACCTGTCACTTCGCCACCAGACCCCTGTCACAAAGCAGGGTGGTCAGAAACAGAGCATTAACTTCGGGGAATAAAGAAAATATGTATCCCATAAAATATATGGGTCTATCCTTCTTCCCCCTATAAATACCCCTCACATATCTCTGGACAAAGGTAATAAATCCTCTCATAGTAAAAACCCTACATTCATTCTTTCTCCATCTCAAGTTAGTTTCTTACTTAACCATCGAAGAGGGTTAGACTGGGATCAGCCACAGTTCGCCATTATTCTGATATCACTCAAAGTGTGCAAATCTTCCCTTGGAGATTATCCATACTCAAAGGTCCAATACGGGCCCTAGCCCCCGGATAGAGCCCGAGTCATCTATACGAGAAGGATACGTGGTTTACAACTTCAATTAGCATTACAAGATACACAACTCGCTTATTGGTATTTATTTAATTAATCACAAACCGTGTTATTATGACTCATATATTCACGCTTTAATCACAACACTAAGTATACTATAATATTATCCACTAATTTCAACATACTCTATAAGAGGTTGATGGCTAAAACTTATCCCCCATAATCCCTTTGAAAATGGTGAGATTATGAGAGATAAGTTTGTCATCAACCATTTATGAATAATTCTCCTTCATCCTCCAAGTTAGACGACAATATATATCCATATTTTGTCTTGATTGCACATGAAATGTAAGCACTTTGCTAGTCTAGTTCTCACTAACAAACGAGGCATGTGCTTTTTATCAACTAATTATATCCAAATGGGATAGATTGAAAAGTAAAGCATGGTGGTGGTGCAGTGTTCTGACATTGGACGGTATAGCATGTCTTAATTAGTAAAGCTAATTAAGCGGTGACAAATGAAACTCCTATCCACTAATCACTATCTGTTGCATTGCGTACCAGTCGCTGAACCGTGTAAGAAGTTGCTTGCAGCTTGTTTCCAGTACGAGGCACAGTATGTTGCAAAATCCTCCCAATCGGAATTACCTTTAATTAAACAAATAAGAAAACGACAAATTAATATCAAACAATTAAGCAAAACGGAACATCAAATTAACATCCATTACGTGGCAGTCTATGACAACTGTACTACCTGTACCCTCAAAAGAAAAACTAAACTTTACTGCGTACGTAGACCGAAAGTGGGTACAATATAAATCCAAAGCATTGAAAGATATAAAAAAGCATAAACCCAAAGCACAAGTCGACCAATTAAAGAGAGACTGTTAATTAACAATTAGTTATTACTAAGTACGTAACTAAACTAGCTTACATTCGTCCGACTCAATTGCCATGAAAAAAGCTTAATTAAAAAAAAGACATTCCCCCCACCTCCTAAACAAACTGTAATTTTCCCCACTTCCAAATTCAAATACCAACAAAAGTTATAAGTTTTGATGAGTTAAAACAAACTTAACTGCGCGCATACTACAAAAGTGCCCGCGTCCGCATTCCACCGTCCTAAAGCTAGCCAGCTATTACTTTATTTTTCTTTTCTTTTCTTTTCGTTTTTTGCATTTCTTGATGAGATGAGATGCCTAAAAGTTACAAGCTTAATTTGTAGTTTCTGTTGCTAAGTGCTTTTTAAAACCTATTTTATATTTTATGTTATCAACAATGTCGCTCGGACTCGTGTCATGGTTTGCAAATTTACAATTGGTTGCGTAAAGTGGTTTTATGCGATTTTCATTTCACTTTTTATTTTAAAATTGTGACAGCCCGTACTAGAAGGAGAGGACTGGCTCTCTCTCTCTCTCTCTCTCTCTCTCTAGCTTCCGAACCTAGACGCCCTTTTGAAAAGTACCACTAAGCCTTCCCCTCCAACTCCAACTTGCCTTGTAGCCACACAAGACCAAAGCTCATTGGCTAATTTGGGAGGCGAAGGAGGTCCCACCACAAGGCTGGGTCCCGTCCAATTGGTTGATCAAGGGGCCATGTCATCCCCTGACATTTACGTGGGATAACGATATTCATAGAGAACCGCGCACTCGGATATGGAACTTCGCCACGTCATCAGTTTGTGGGACCCGAGACCGTCCCCCTTGATAGTAGTAGTCGACATCACTCTACCAGTCATCCAATTCAGTCCCAGTAGATAATTGACTCCATTTATTTTAAAAATAAAAAATAGAAAAGGTTGAAACAAAACCACAGCTGGTGGGTCTAATTTCCGAGTTACCCTTTCCTTAAATCCTGCATATATTCCCCCAAATCTTTCTGAAATTTGTGTCGTAATGGAAACAAAAGAGAGGGAGAAATAAAAAAACAGAAAGAAAACAAACTTGAGGAAAATTATAAATGTGCAGCAAATATTATAGCACTAGTGTATGTTGACAGGATTTGATTGAAGATGTGTTTGTTAAAACAATGAACGATGATTTCAAAAGAAGCCAACCCATGATCCTCAAATCCTTACAAGCTATAGCTATTAGTGAGTGTGTGTGAGGGTACCAAGTACCAGCCATGCAAATTCAAATTAATGTGACGTTTTGGGGGGGGATGCACCCTACCTCCCATAACATGCACGTGGACCCATTGGATCTCCATGGGCGCATATTAATTGAACCTATTTTTTTTGTTAGTGCATAGTTTAATAATGTCTTTTAGGCCTTTTAAATCTTTAGGTTGAGATAATGGAAAATGATTGATGTTGATGATCACTTAAGTGCCAGATGTCGCGATCTAGCGCTCCTAATTAGAAAAATAAAACTGGAATTTTGTTTGGGTGGGATGCTCAAATATGGGCAAATAAGTGATTAGGAGGGGAACATTTTGGCTCTTTGTTTTTGGGGCTATAAAACAACAGGGAAGATGGGGCATCCTTGCACATGGGGCATGGTCAGATTTGGAGAATACAAAATCGTTGCCTTTAAGAAGAGGTTGAAGCATAAATAATTTTATAAGTTTGGAGCAGCCAAAGGGCATCTTCTTCTGTAGGTAATACTAATAGCTAGAACAAGTTCAACCAGTACTTCTTGAGAAGAAAAAAACAACTTTCTTCTTTCTTTTTTCTTCACAAGTATTATCAAGCGTGCATGTGGTGGTGGGTTCTTAGTTTCCGTTGTCTTCAACTTCGATTTCGATCGTGTGCAAAAAGCATAATGCACGGACATCATCACAATTTCACATACTCTTAAATGTTTCCTATTTCCATTGTTTTATTCTTTGGCCTCGGCGGCTTTAAGATTGAAATAGTCAAAGTTGTACTATAACAATTTAGGAGGCATGTTGCTACTCATTAGACTAACGAAAATAATTGATCACTCCAAAGGACTAGGTAATGCAACTGTACAAACAAACCATGATTATATTTTATAGAAAATAAGTGAGAGAGTGGAGATGATATTTACCATAAAAAGCAAGTGGAGTTCAAAATACCTATTCATTTTGAAATAGGAAACATTATCTTATTGCATGAAGTATGCATATTTTGAATACTTGGATGCCTATTCCGTTGGAGGAAGAATACTCTCTTGGAGATGCTCTTAGATATTATTCATGAACAATTTACTAGTTGTTTTACGCACAGAGAATTAAGATGCTTCCATGGTTTACAAATCTATACATGACTTGTACTCTTCCGTATTGACCCCTCTTCTTCTACCTTGTTTTTCATTGTATTGTTATATTTTTATTTTTCGCTTACTTGGGCTACAATAGTTCATACTACAATCAACTTTTAACTTTCACATCTCCAAAGAAAGGTTAACTACCTTCCTTGTAGTTTCAATAGCAAATATCATTAATGATTATGATCCATGGATATGTATTTACGCGTTCAAATTAGAAATGAGATATCAATATCTTATCAACTTATTATAATGTAATTTTCGGGTTAATAACCTTTATTCCTTCTGACCCAAAAAAATAAAAATAAAAACCTTTATCCCTTTTTATGAACCTATTAGGTAACTTTGAAATCAAATCCCTATAACATAGCAAGCTGGTGATGAAAATGCTACATATCAAGCCTTAACTAAGTTAACTTTCGTATAGCGTGTAAATAAATGAAAATCCAGTAGGTTTTCATCGGAAGATCATACGACATCATGGCAATCTTGGTAAGAAATAAGAATTTAATCTGAAATACGCGTCAACTTTTGGACATTAGTATGGTACAATATTTGTATCCATCACTCAACAACAACAACAACAACAATCAGCAAATCACTGCCTTACACACTTGTGCGAAAACAGCAGACAGTAAATACTGTGTTGTAATTATCTCAAAAAATAAGGGCATTTCCTAAACCGCGTCTCTATAAGATTCTCCTCCCTCCCCAAAGCACAGACCCCCAAATTTCCCACTCACCTCATATTATTATTTGCAGCAAACAGAACCCAAAAACCCAAAGCCGACCGAGTTCGCATTTTCCATCGCTTTCCAGCAAAATGTCAGCCGGACTGGGAAAATGTAGCAAGATCCGCCACATTGTGAGGCTCCGCCAACTGCTGCGGCGGTGGCGCAGCAAGGCCCGCATGTCAGCCAATCGCATACCGTCGGATGTTCCCGCAGGACACGTGGCCGTCAGCGTGGGCAGCAGTTGCACCCGATTTGTTGTGCGCGCGTCGTACCTGAACCATCCCGTCTTCAAGAAGCTCCTAGTAGAAGCCGAGGAGGAGTACGGCTTCTCCAACCAAGGTCCGCTCGCGATACCCTGCGACGAGTCACTCTTCGAAGAGGTGCTCCGATTCATTTCTCGATCCGAGTCGGGTGGGTCGACCCGGTTCGTCAATCTAGACGACTTCCAAAGATACTGCCACGCGGGCATCCGGAGTAACCTCGATTTCTGGGCCGATTCTCGACCGTTGCTTCGTGGATTTTCAGATAAAACAATTTGGTAAGCAAAGCGGAAAACCAAGTGCGTTTAGTTGGTAATTTTAATTTGGTTTCTGAAAATAAAGGAGGATATATACAAAAACGCGCTTCGGTTCTCTCACCCGGGTGGACTCAGTCCGAGTTATATCGCTCTCCATGGCAGCCAGCCATTAGTTGATTGAAGAGAGTAAACTGTTAATGATATGACACGAAGAGTTCGAGCCTAAAATGGGGCTCGGATGGATTAACCCAGTTGGGCGTACTTAGTGATTGACGGGGTTGGGGTTCTTTTTTTTTTTTTTTTTTTTTTTTTTTTTTTTTTTTTTTTTTTTTTATGAAAATTATTGTATGTACTGAGTAAGAGTACAGTGAGAAACTACCGAAGAATGCTATGGAGATGGCAAGATGGGTGGGGAGTGATCCACCGAGTCGTCCCGGGTTCGAATCGGAGTGGAGGCAGAGAAGCGAGCTGCTCCTGCTGCTGCTGAGGAGAAAGATGAAGAAACAAAACAAAATTACCGAATATTATTGGGTCTCGATTTTCCTTGTAAATTCTGTGATTTATTGATTAATTAAAGATAAATTGTAGCTTTTGTTATGCCTTTTAGTTTGACAACTAACCGTTTGTTGGTTGTGTAGCTTTTGTTATGCCTTTTAGTTTTATATGAATTTCAATCATGGGAGTGGGAGACGAGACGGTGTGGAAATTATAGTGGCGCCAATCCACGTGAAACCAAAGCCAGAGTGTCTCTGTTTCCTTCGCTTCACCTCCTGATTCAATCTCGTCTTTTTTTTTTAACCAACAAATTATTGTGTGTTATATGTACTTTTGCTGTAATTACATTTTTTAATTTTTTATAACAAAAAACACAACTTTTTGATGGGCCACGAAGAAGGGAAGTCCTAGAGAGACCAACCAACTAATCATAGAGAATAATGAACCTTTGACCAATTATTATGAAGCCTGTGCATGCATAATTAGTAGGTTCATTCATTCACTCATGTTAATTTGGATTATAAATAAACTAACACTCAAGTCAAGACCCAGCGACAGATGCAAGCCACTACAATTGCCTTCTGATGCTGACTTTTGACCTCCTCCTCCTCTGTCACCCATGTTAATGAATGGGCTTTCCATAGCTCTAAACCAATTCTTTTGCATCCCCTTCCAAATGGGAAAAACCCAACATTCTTTTTTTTTGAGTCTTTTTTTTTTCAAAAATAAAGAGAAAAATAAAGGAAAGTAGCTAGTGTGTGTATGTATATATCTGTCCGTCATCATCGGTTCGGTGCCTAGGATAGTTTGCTTGACTTTTGGGTGATGGTTGAACTTGAAACCTCTGTAATTAATCTTATCTTTATTGTCCGTCATTAGTGCCCAGGTCAAATAAGTGTCCAGTTTTGAAGAGCAAGTCAATGTTTGACATGTTTGAGAATTGAGAGACTTATTTGTTATTGAAGCTGCATATGAGTAACATCTCAGAAATTGCATTAGCGCATGTGAAATGTACAGTAGCCGTGCCACCAGGTACAATCTCATAATATATACGTGTTGGAAAATGACATGATATGAGACAGTACAAAAAAGAATAAAGCACCGCTTCAACACAACAGCAGCATGTGAAACTGCTTTGGGAAATGGGTGTCTTAATCAATAACCCGACCATGCTTTAAAAGCCCCTATCTCAATCCTCAAGCTTTTTTGAGTCCAAGCAAGTACCAAATTCAAAACCACAGAATGAGGTGGGTGGTTCATACTGAACTGAAAGCACTAGAGCCAGTGGTAGTTGCCAACATCACTTTCTCTTGGGAGCCTTTAAAAACACAAACATAAACCCCAAAGAGAAAAAAATCATGTGAATTTTAAAAATGGAAGTCAATTCATGGGGTGGCAAAAAGAGGGTAGATTTTTGGTTTTGAATCCATTTTGGTGAATGAATGGCAATACAGATTCCAACTTATGGGGAATGAATACGGGGCCAAATCTAGTCGGGGTGGGCTCGCTTTCATTTGGATTCGAAAATATTTGGACGGTTGGATAAGGGTAGGGGATGTGTCTTGACCCTCTTTAGAGTCATCCTCCCACTAACACAAAAGCAATTGGTTCCACCTAACCTAAAGGGCTTTCTGGAAGCTATTTTGATTGCCTGATTAAGCCTGGGGTACCGTTCACGATATAAATACCTACTTTGGTTTGGTTCATCAAGCAGAAAAAAGTGTTGTTCTTTTCCTTTTTCAAATGATGTACGTCTTTTCAAGGCGTAGACCACTAGATAGATAAAGAAAAGAAGACGAGAAAAAGATGGAAATTGTTGGTCAGATGAGATTCAGATCAGAGGGCCCGTGTTTAAGTAATAAACACAGGCAGCTAGGCCTAGGTCCGTGGTCTAAATCGGCTTCTAAGCCCACACAGTATCTTGAGCCTCAATAGCCGGAACCATAACAAAAATTCTGCGGATGAACTATTTGGGCTTCAAACTAGGCCACATATTTCTGTTTAAAAAAATATATAGTTGGGCTTTTTTTAAAATTTGTAGGGGGTTCGGATACGGAAAACATGTTGAGGAGATGATGAATGAGATTGCCGGTTGTTGGAGGCCTAAAATATCTACAAGTTTAGTACGGCAAACCAAACACAGCTCCCTCACCGGCACGGCTTAGTTAATGAGGAATTCGATAATTCATATGTTAGCTGTCAGCCCTTTAATAAAAACACTTTGGTAGGCCAAAATGTCCCACTCTAGCTCTATATATAGCCTATAGGAGGTGCATGCACAAAATCACAACCCAATAAAACTCTCCGTTTCTTTCTCACTGCATGCCTGCCTGCCTGCCTGCCTCATGTGACAGAGAGAGACAGAGAGTTTGAAATTGCATGTGGACCGGGCGCATGTGAACCACAAACGTGCAATTACAGGAGCCATCAAGCCAAGATTGCAAGTCTCATGTCTGACCCCATCATGATTCATGCCTATTTATCATCTCTTCAGACTCAGACTGAGGGCCATCCTCCAAAACGCAAAATAACAAGTGATGAGAGAGAGAGAGAGAGAGAAGTTGACAATTTATGAGGTTGAGAACATTGCGAATGAATGGGACGAGCTTTGGATCTCCACATCTAATAAATTGGACCACCTAGCTCTTTTCTTTCATGCTTTCTTCTACTTTATAAATTGGACCACATTTGTTTATTTTTTTAGTAAAGAAATAGTTCACATAAGGACAATATTAGGGTTTTTACTTTTTACAGTCATCATCATCATCACAGCATGAGGCGTGGCAACAAACGAACAAACAAACAACAGAACAGTAGTAGTGGAAAACAAGAATGAATTGAATACGTATAGAAGAGGAATATCAGTTTAACTTGTGTGTTTCCAAAACAGGAAGTTTAACGACCTCTGTAAGAATTCCCTCATGCTCATGGGTCACGTGGTCATTCTCCAAAACATTACACAAAAGAAGAAAAGTTGTTACTTCATTTACTCTCACTCCATCAAACAACCACATTTCCCAGAAGAAGAAAAAAAGCATCATACTATTACTAATGCATTATATATTAATTCTTTCCGACATATATATTCACAATTATATTTCGACATATATATATTCAGAATTATATTTCTCTCTCTTTGTTATTTTTTTGGATGGATGGATTAATGTAGCTATAGGAGGGAGGGACTCTGTAGAGGTAAAGATTAGTTCTCTTAATGATGGATTACCGAAAGCAAAAATAGCTATAATCATTCCCCATTATCACTAATATCTATTAGTGAAGAAAACAAGGAAATTTACTTGGCACTTTTTCCGGCAAAAGTGATTTATTAAATATAATATTAATAATGACTTATGCAGAAGAAGCCAAAACCCCATGAATTGTATGTTGTTGCTTTCAAATGATAAAATGAATGAATAATTGTACTGAACAACAGCTAGCAAAATAATAAGTCATTCGTTCTCATTGATAAACACGAGTAAATTATGATTTGCATTGCTTAATTAATGGGTTTTGATAGATTCATTTACCTGAAAAAAGAAACAAGGAAGAGAGAGAGAGAGAGAGAGAGAGAGAGAGAGGGGGGGGAAAGGAACAGTACTAGCTAGTAGTTAAGCTAGCAGAGAAAGTTTGTAGGTTGGCTGACACACAGTCACCGCATAAAATGACTGATGACATGATGGTGTTGTTCTTGTGAAGCCTCAGACAGAGCCTCCTCCTCCTCCTCCTCAATCAGTATTCAGTAACTAACAGGCCAACAACTGTTATGTCATGATGGGCCCACTGATTCTTAATCTTCCCTAAGCCATGGCCCAGCTTGTATCCTATCTGGTTAGTTTTGGGTGTCAAATCGAAGATGCCCTAAACCAACCCCGACTTAGAATTCCCAACATATTATTTCTTTTGTTTTATTTCTAGGAGGGTTGTGTAAAATGCCATAGAAACAAACAGCCTAGTAGTCTACCCACTTTCTCATTCATCTAAGTCGTGTAATGCATGATCAGTCAATTTTGTAAAGAGAAAATGGATGACACTGTTGTTGGCGTTACTCTCCTACCACGCTAACTATATGCAAATTAAGATATAGATATAATAACAACAAGCAATATGATCAGACCCCATCGAGATTTTCCTCTGACAAAAAAAAAAAGAAAAAAAAAAGTAAATGTAAATGATGATGATGATTATGATGCTGATGATCGCTCTGGGGAAAAGCTAAAAAAGAAAAGAAAAGAAAAGCAGTGCGGATGGGTGACTTGTAGAAGTACCAAAGGCAAATCGAATCCAAGGAAAGAAAAACTCAATTACTTCGGCATAGGAATTGAAAAGTGTGGGTATATGGTAATGGGAAGGTGGACTAAAGCTGTCTGTCTCTGTCTGTCTTGCGCATTCTATTCTATTCTATTCTATTCTTACTAGTTACTATTACATCTACTACATGCACCCAAATGCCACTCCTACTCTACCACCCTACTACTTTACTACTAACCTATTCACAAAATTCTTTCGTACCAACAAAGCAAAGGTAGC